GGAAGGAAGGAAGGAAGGAAGGAAGGATGGAAGGAAGGAAGGAAGGAAGGAAGTCAAACAGAGGAATTTGTAGTTAAAAGTGATATGAGGTTTCCTACTACTGGGAGCTAGTATAAGAGAACCACCAATTAAATGTTCCTGTGTTAGCAAAGCTCCTCCTATTATTCTATTATAAATCCAGCCTTGAGGATCTATTTGGAGCTGTCCGTGGTCCTGTTTTCCACTGTTCCCTTTGTTGGACAACCTTCATGTTGCCTTAATACATTTTTGCTGCTTCTTTCATTGTAATATTTTGTCTTGACTTTGCACAACATGAATGACTATATATACAGTCCCACAAAGAGACTCAGAGATTTCAAGCCTAGCTTCCTAAGAGTTCCTAGCTTTAAAAATAAATAAATAACTCAAACCACTAGCATGGACAAATGACACTTTAGGGTCCTAAGCGGGAAATATTCTAAATATTATTTCAGAGCTGCTGCCTGTAATCATTGAGAAATGTTGGCTAATCTCTGGAATGGCAGAAGACTTGACAGAGATAAATATTAATCGCAGTAATATCCGTGAAAGGGGGACAAATGTAAAACTCAGGGATCGCCAGATCACTGCTGGTCAAAATTCTTGAGTACGATAGCAAGTAGGTGGCTTGCCAGAAAATTGAGAAAAGGTTACCCCCGGGAGCAACAGTGTGCTTGACGAATTCCGCCTCTCCTTAAATGATTATCAAAATAGTGGACCCCTGTAGGCATATTAAATCAGGGCTCGCGAGGACTCGGACAGATTTCCCAGGATATTCTGGATGACAAAATGGTAAAAGGTGGGTTAGATTTATTGCTCTGAAGTAGTGAACCACATACTTTTTTACAGCTGGACTCAGCAAGTGTCAGACACGGAACAATGCGCTAGAACAGGGAGGGCTAACCGTTTTGTCTTTGCATGCTGAAAGCCATAATGCCCATAATGCAATATGTGTGTGATCCCCCCGCCAGCACGTGTGACTCCCTCAGGTACTCCCCACCCCACACATTTGCCCTGCACCGCCGATTTCTGACTTCCAGGTTGGTGCAGGAGGCTTTCCAAGGATCTGGAAGGCCTCCTGCACCATCCTAGATGCCAAATCAGGGTGCCAGGGCACTCTGTAAGGCCCCAAAAGGCAATGTGAGTGCCCCCCTGTGCATGCACCTTGCCCCTCCCGGCATGCATGCATGCATCCCCCCACATACGGCCCACCTCCCGTGCATGTACGGCAGAGACGCAAAGATGGGCTGACCATCAGGAGGCATGCATGCATGCACAGAGGAGCTAGAGTAATGGATGGCCGCGCCCTCAGAGAGGGATCTGTGCGCCATCATGGCGCTAGAAGAAAATTATCAGGTACTCCTTGACCTATGATCCCACCGGAGCCCAAAATTTCTGTTGCTAGGCGAGGCAGTTGTTAAATGAATGTTGCCCCATTTTATGACCTTCCCAGCCACTGTTGTTAAGCGAAACACTGTTGTTGTTAAGTTAGCAATGCAGTTCAATCACTCTGGCTTCCCCACTGACTTTTCTTGTCAGAAGGTCGCAAAAGGGAACCTTTAAAATCTTCAACTTCTATCCATTCAGCATGATGATCGGAAGTGATATTCAGGCGGTTCGGATGAGTTTGGGCAAACTAATAGCTCCGACAATCAGCTGGCCCCAACCACCCACCCTGCTCTATCCTGTCCTTCGTTTCCTGCTTTCTAGCTCATCTCAATCGCACAGCACAGCTGATTTCCCCCCACTGCCATTGTCGGCCTCTGCACATCACATTTTAGACCTGTCCCAGGCTGCAGGGATTGCCACAGTCCATTGCTGCCTCTGGCCTTATGTTTCTGGCCTCCATGTCGCATGTTTTCAGCCTCTGTGCCTCACGTTTTCAGCCTCCGAACGCCCGTTCAAAGCTGCGGGGATCACCACATTGCCGCCAATTTCTGCCTCCATGCATTGCATTTTCGGCTTCTGCATGCCCCATTTTTGGCCTCTGCATATTGCATTTTCAGGCGGTTCCAGGCAGTGGGGATTGGTGGCATCTAGACCCACTCAAAAACATGATGCGCAGAGGCCAAACGGGGTGTGCGGAGTCTGAGAATGTGATGCACAGAGGCCAGAAATGCGATGTGCAGAGGTCGAAAATGAGAGGCACAGAGGTGGTGATGGTCTGTGGCATTCCCTGCAGCCTGAAACCGCTGATTGGTGGTATTCCAGGAAGCCGATCCACCATCCAATGAGCTGCTTGTGCTGAATCAGGCTGCAATAATGCGCTGAAGCTGACCAGGCTGTTTGCTGCAAGGATGCTAGGCAAATGAATACTAACGGATGCTGGGAGGCAGAGGCAGATTTTTTTTTCTTCTTGTTTTCCTCCCCAAAAACAAAGGGGCGTCTTATACTCTGGAGCATCTTATACTCTGAAAAATATGGTATGTCAATGTTCACCCATTCTCCTTTGGGAAAAGATAGAGCTTTTCTCAAATCAGGATTTCAAATGCTGAGAACATCAATCCTTCTCTATTTTCAATCGGATGCACCAACAATGAGATAGGAAGCCTCCCGGGACGTGTTATAAAACTCCTGGTAAGGTTTTTGCTTGGAGAATTCTAGTTATAGAGTTGATTAAAAATGTAGTAGTTGGCTGGGATATCAAATTCAACCGAGGGCCTCTTGGTGACTGGCCAAATCCTGCCTTCCCTGGACTGGCAACATGCTTGAAACTTTTTGGGTCAATAACCAAAGATAGATAGATAGATAGATAGATAGATAGATAGATAGATAGATAGATAGATAGATAGATAGATAGATAGATAGATAGATAGATAGATAGA